AGAGGGCTCCAAGAGAGGCTCAACAGAGCCCCAAGACGGCCCCAAGAGCGCCCAAGAGCGCTCCAAGAGCGACCCAAGAGCGCCCCACGAGGCGACTTTTGGGGCTCCCGAGGAGCAGCGCTAATTAGGCTGGTGTGGTTATGCGAAGCGTCTAGAATTGCCACCATCGCCGAGATCGGGACCATTCTCCCCCTCGTGCCAACCTCTACGGTCAGGAGCTTGTCAAAGGTCTCCACCCGATCCTTGGAATTCCCAGGGACCGTTTTTTCATCCGGAGTCGATTTTTTGACAGTCCCGAGGCCCGGTAAGGGCCTCGGAGGCCGAAAATAGTGAAAGACCTCCCGCAATGATTACTTTCACGACGCGAGAGGAGGAGGAGGAGGAGGAGGAGGAGGAGGAGGAGGAGGAGGAGGAGGAGGAGGAGGAGGAGGAGGAGGAGGAGGAGGAGGAGGAGGAGGAGGAGGAGCAGGAGGAGGAGGAGGAGGAGGAGGACGCCTCCGAGAGAGGCAACGACGACGACGACCACACAGGGGGGCGGCGGCGCCCCCCGCTGCGAACGCACGCGCCTCTCGCTTGCTGCAGGGCCACGAAAGGGTGCCACGCTTGGCGGGGGGCAGCCACGTCACCTCGGCGCCAGCGCCGGCGCCGCAGGTCGTTGTCGTAGTCGTCTTGGTCGTCTTGGTCGTCGTCTTGGTCGTCGTCGTCGTCGTCGTCCACGTCATCGTCGTCGTCGTCGCCGTCTTGATCGTCGTCGCCATCGTCTTGGTTGTCGTCGTTTTGGTCGCCACCGTCGTGTTCTCCGTCGTACGCCGTGGTCGTCGTTGTGGTCGTCGTCCTCGTCCTCGTCGTCGTTTTGGTCGTCGTCGTCGTCGTCATAGTTTGCGTCGTCGTCTTCGTCACCGCTGCCGACGACGACGCCGAAACTGCCGACGTCGATGGCGTCTTCGGGCCACTTTTTTGGTTTGCAAGTTCTGGCGGTCTTCGACGCCACGGCTGGACGCCGCTCGAGAGGAGGCCAGGGTGTCCCAGGAAGGACCTCGCGGACCAACTCTGCGCGGACTTGGGTCCGTTGACGTCGTCCTCGAGATTTGAGCTCCCCGAGGTGCCCTGGGGCTTCCGCGGGCCCCCCGGTCGACTGGGGGATCCGAGGCTTCAGTGGGGCACCGCCGCCCAGTTTTCTTTATTTGGTGTGCTTACTACGTGCCCCCATGGCGCCCAAACTCGTGCTTCGCGCCGCGCGAAGCGCGGTTATCTTCGCGCCAAGCTCGCACCCCTGGAGAAGAGCAACTCTCCAGCCCAGACCGCTGAGCACGAATCGCGGATACCTTCGCACTTTCGCGCCTTTGGCAATCAGGATCCGAGACTGTTCGACAACGTTGGCAAGTATGCATGTCTGAACAAACGTGCTGGAAGGGTGCATTCTCCATCCCCCCCTTCAATTCCCTCCCCACTCCTGGACGCTGGAGATGCTGGGGGGGCCCAAAAGCGGTGAGGTGACAGACCATGCGGTGACCTCGGAAACCCGCCAGACCTCACCGCCCAATCCGTCATTGCTCTGCCTTGGGACTTTGGAGGCCCCCGTCGCCCGACGCATCTTCGGATAACGACCTGAATCCCAAAACCACGCGGCCACCCCGAAACCCCTCTTGCTCACCTCACGGTTCGGGGATCTACTTACCCGGGTCAATCAAGACCGGGCCAGTCAGGCCTTGCAGGATCCTGCGCGATCCTGCAGGAGCCTGCACCCAAGCACGGTTCAATGCGACCCTGGCCCTGCAGGGTCCTGCAAAATCTGGCGCTCTGACTGGCCCCCGGCTGCACTGACACCCGCCCCTCGAATCCCGAACGGCGCGGTCACCGCACTGTTCCAGGGCCCACGAAGGTCCGCGCGGCCCTCCCCCAAAGGGCCCATGAGGCGTCCACACGCTGCCGCGAGGGCGCGCCGCGAGCGTGGCCCGGAGGGGGAGGAAGCACAGGAGGAGACTAGAATGCAAAGCGGCGGACTAAGACAGACGTTCTCTGTATAGCTGTATTGGCGAACGGCGTGCGCAGGGCACGGTGTACAGCGGGCGCGGAGCCTGGCCAGACTTGACCCAAACGCCCATGGCCAGCCCCCCCCCTGCTGTGCTACAAGCGTGCTGACTGCCCTGCGACCCAATAACCTACCGTTCGAGTCCGGTGCTCAAACGGGTCCAAGGTGAATCCTTGGCCAAACCACCAACACGACACCCCGGACTAACGAAATAGCTGGAGATGAGCTTCTGCTGACCAGGTTCTTCGCAAAAAAACTGCCCGCGTGAAAGGGGGATGAACCAGTTTCGGTAGGTCCCGTAGTTGATGGAGTTCAGTCCGCCACAGGGCGGGTTTGCCCCTACGGCGCCAACCGCAAACAAAAACACATGTTCCTGTTGTACTGCTCCCGTAGCAAGGACGGAAATACTCCCATCAATGACCATGGGACCAACCAAGGCTAGTCAGCCCACCCCTCAAACAATAACAGCAGACGGTTGACAGAGTAAACGGCCTTTCAATCACCAGCTGCTTCTCGAACGCAGCTCGCGAGAGCAACCTCTCCTCGACGTGGATCACGATGCCCCACGTTGCGAACACTAGTCGCCCCATGCGGAATGGTTTACATATTTCGCATCGCGAACAAAATGCGCCTCGTGCGGCTAACCTTGTGATTTCTCCTTGGTGTGCAGCTCCGCAGTCCCGGACGCAGCTCGGACATGCGACTGCACATCGTTTATGCGTTGTCCTTGTCATTGGGTGAGTCGCTGTAGCTGGAGCTTGGGACAGCCTTTTTGTTGCGCTCCTCGCTTAACCTCACTGTAGGATGGACGTGGGCAAGCTTGCCACTCACGTCGTCAAGGATGAGCTCTCTGGGGTGTTTCGCTCCGTCGTAAGATCTGCTCGTATATCCCCGGCGTCGCATCACACTATACCGGGCAGCTGTTCGGTTCGCAGCTGGTCCGTTGGCCACCACAAGTGGCCTGTCGTGCTGCTCTCGGACGGCGGGCGCACGTGGCCCATGGCCAAAGCTGGGAAGACGGACGTGCCGTCTACGACCAGCTAGGCTGGTGCGGTGTAACCTCCTCCTCCCTCAACCCCCTGACTCCGTCTGCTAAGGCGGGTCCTCGCGCCATCTCGTGGAGCGCGGGTAGGTGCGCTTGAAGCCCGTCTGCTGCTCCACACGCGGCGGAGCCGAATGCCGATCGACACGCGAAACGATGTGATCGGCTCACAGCGTCGAGCAGGTGGCAGACCTGCTCACCAGCACTGCGACACTTGCCCTTGCGAGTGCACACGGCGCCTCTCGCGCCGTCTCCTGTCTCCCCCTCGCGCTTGAAGGAGCCGCCGCTGCGAGCGCAGATAATGCTGGCGCGCTCTATTGCGGGGTAGACGGCGCGCGCTCTGATCTTCTGCATGGCCAGAACAATGGCGCTAAGCTGCGCAATATGCCTGATGAGCAAGTTGTTATTGGCCCAATGCAGCGCGACGGTGTAGACGGCAACGTGGTTTTGCGCGAGCAGCGCGTAGGCTGCTGCTCCAAAGAGGGAGACAAGTAGGTCCGGGAGTGGACCCTCGGCCGACATGCCGGCCTTCGACTTGACCAGGTCGACGTGCCTGATGGGGATCAGGGCGTCGTTGCACTCGTCCTGGTCGAGCGTCACGTTACCGTCGTCACTGCGGTGTTGGTGGACGCCGCAGCAAAGGAAGTCGTCGCATCTCCCTTCATAATGCAGATGACGCTCTTGATGAGGCCGACGAGACGGTCGACGTGCTCCTCGCGTCTTGCTTTGCGGTCGCCAGCGTGTTTGGACAGCATGAGCACGAGCTCCGGGGTGCTGGGACCACAGATGCCGGACGCACCGCGTTTGACCTCGAGCTCTGGGTCCCACCGCGTCGTCTTGTTGTCGCATTCCTCTGAGTGCGTGCTCCTGGCGAGCTTCATGGAGAAAGCTCCGGGTGCATCCTTGCAGCCCGTGCCTGGGTTGATGCAGCGCAAGCGCTCGGTCCGCTCGTCGGAGGACTCGTGGCCTGGGACCTGCCTGGGGATAGCCGCGCTGCTGGGCGGCACGGTGAAGTTGACCTCCCTGGGTGCTTCGCCCTGCTCCTGCATCTCGGCATATGTCAAGCCTTGCGGGAGCGCCCTCTCCACGTCCACGGCGACGTGCACGCTCGGTCCGAAGACGGGCCGCCTCGCAGGACAGAGTGCGCTGAAACGCCCGCTTCGCCGGTCCGGCGAAACCGAGCGAATGATATTCGAATAGACGACAGCACGTTTCTAACCCAATCACTCGGCCCAGCAGCGGACGCCGCAATTACAGATCCAAAGGAGACGCGTTCCTGCTCGCAGGCGGCGTCTTACAGGGCGCCCTCGGCGACAAGGTCGATGATCCTCAGAACGTGTGTTAGCGCCAGCGTGTGTCTGTCCAACGAGGCCAGTCAATACGACGGAGGTGGTGTAAAAAGGGCCGAAACAGGCTCCGAGCTAACGGTGGAGCTGCACGGGGTAAACATACGCATTTGGCTAGCACGCGTCCCGAGGATAACCGATAAGGGCCAGGTGGACCGACGCGCGCATGGCCATCTCGCGGAACTCCTCCGGAACAGGGCAACGTGTCTACGGCGCACAGCCAGGCCTGAGGGGCACCCTAGGGCAATGCTGGGCCAGCTTGGGACCGTCTTGGGGCCGTGCTGGGCGCCCTTTGGCTGTTCCAAGGCCCTCTCGGAACAACACTTACTCGAGAATTACAGATCGAACGTCTGGCCAATCACCTCAAGAACCTTTTAGATGGCTTATATCTTAATTCGGCAGCTATCTTAGACTTGTTGGGGAGGGGCCTCTAGGAACGCTTTAGGCGAATTCAGAATGCACTGGAGTTGTTGGAGCCTCCCCAGAGAGCCCGAGTGATGCGCAGTTGATGCCCCAGGGAGAGGGACAACTCATCATAAAGTTGACACAGACGATAACAAAACAAACTTGGATCTCATTGGCCAGCCACATATTGACCCTCCTGAGGTGCCCAAAGACTTCAGTGAATATTTCGGGGCTGTCAAATATGTCCGTCGGGAGTCTGCTGGCAGGCTGGTTTCTTATCTGCTCCCCTATCCTCCCCCTTCTCGTCGTCGTGGTCGTCCTCCTTCTCCTTTCCACCTCCCTACGCACAGCTAGGGTCGCAGGGCCCTGCAGAGCCGCCAGACGAGGTCGTCTTCATTGTCTTTCTCTGCGTGGTCCTGGAGGCAGGGCGGAGTGGAGAAGGTGTGGAGGAAGTGGAAGAGGAAGAGGAGGTGAGAAGGAGGAGGTGTCGAGGAGGAGGTCTGCAAGAGAAGGAGGAGGGAGAGGTGGGGGAGAGGAGCCGTGGAGGAAGAGGGGGAGGAGGAGAAGGAGGAGGCGGAATAGGTTGCGGAAGAGGAGGAGGTGTGAGGGATGAGGTGCGGATAAGGATGTGCGCAGGAGCGCAAGGAAGAGTTGTGATAGAGAAGGTGTAGTCGAGAGGAGATGGATGAGGAGGATGAGGAGGAAGAGGAGGAGGAGAATGAGGAGAAGGAGAAGGAGAAGGAGGTGCGCAGGAGAACAAGGAAGAGCTGTGATAGAGAAGGTGTAGGAGAGAGGCGGTGGATGAGGAGGATGAGAAGAAGGAGGAGGAGAAGGAGTATAAGAAACAGGAGGAGTGGGAAGAGGAGGCAAAGGAGGAGGAACAGGAGGTGTGCAGGGGCAGGAGGGAGTGGAGGAGGAGGACGAGGAGGACATGGTGTGGAAGAAAACCGGGGATGAGGAAGAGGGTATATGGAGGAGGAGGAGGAGGAGGAGAGAGGAGGAAGGAGGCAGGAGGAGGAGGAGGAGAGGGAGGAGAGGAGAGGAGGAAGAAGGATGAGGAGGAGAGAGGAGGAGGAGGTGAGGAGGAGGAGGAGGAGTGCAGGAGAGGAGGAGAGGAGGAGGAGGAGGAGGAGGAAGGAGGAGGAGCAGGGGGGGGAGGGAGAAGCGCGGAAGGGATGTGCGGAGGAAGGAGGAGGAGGGGGAGGAGAGGAGGTGGAGGAGCGAGGAGGAGGAGGAGGAGAAGGAGGAGGAGGAAGAGGAGGAGGAGGGGAGGAGGAGGTGGAGGTGTGCAGGAGGAGGAGGAGGAGGAGGAGGAGGGAGGAGGAGGGGGAGGGAGAAGCGCGGAAGAGCATGGGAGGAGGAGGAGGAGGAGGAGGAGGAGGAGGAGGAGGAGGAGGAGGAGGAGGAAGAAGTGTGGAGGAGCAGAACGAGGAACAAGGTTTTGAGGGGCAGATATGGAGAAGGAGGAGGAGGCGGAGGAAAAGGCTCGGAGGAACAAGGAAAGGAAGATGAGGTACGAAAGAGGTGTGGGGGAGGAGGTGTGCAGAAGGACGAAAGAGGGGGAGGAGGAGGTGTGGAGGAAGAGGCTGAAGAGGAGATGTGCCGAGGAGGAGGAGGAGGTGCTCGGAAGAGGAGGTGTGGAGGGGCAAATGTGGAAAACAAGCTGTGAAAGAAAAAGAAGAGGAAGAGAATATGTGGAAGAGGAGGTGTGGAGGAGGTGTGCAGAAGGAGGAGGAAAGAGAAGTGTGAGAGGAGGTGTGGAGGAGGTGTGGAAGAGGAGAAGGAGGTTTGGACAGGCAGGTGTGGAGAATGTGGCGTGGTGAAACAGCAGGAGGGACGTGAGATGTGGAAGGGCTCCGGCCATCACGGCCGAGTTACCCTTCGAGAGCCTGGCCAGGGACGAATGTGATACTCATACGCTCCCCAGGGAACCATGACCCGAAATCTCGGGAGCGTGCTTCAGGAACAGCCGATCTGCCGCTGCTCCCTGCCTGCTGCCTCTCCCCTGTCTCTGCCCGCTGGCCCTGGTCTCCCGCCGGTGCGATCGTCGTCGCCTGCTTGCTCCTCCCTCCCCCCTCCCTCCCTCTGGCCGGGAAGCACAAAGCGCATGGAGCACAAGGCACCGCAGCAGTGTGCACAGCCCTGGCATTCGAGGCTTGACGTCTTGTCGGCATCTCCCGGCGCGCCCCGCAGGCCTTCCAGCCCCGAGGTGAGCTCGAGCAGCCGCGCCCCGGCGAGAGCGCTCCCGGGGGTGCCCGATCCTCGCCACGCTTCTGCGGCAGGCCTCTCTGGAGGCCGCCTGTTGCGCCCCCACGTGGTGCATCCTGTGATCTTCGCGCCCGATGGCTTACGGTCAGTCACGTTTGCTTACCGCGTCGCGGCGGCGGCCCTGGCGACACGCTGTGTCTGCAAAGAGATGGCGTGTCGCTCCGCTCCGCGGGATGGCAGGCCGGGAGAAACTCGAGACAATTGACTCTTGGGGGCTGAGATACGGATAGCGTGTCGCGCCGAGGCGTGGTGGGCGAGACCTGGCGGCGCGACACGCCAACCAGAAGTCCCTGACCGCACGAAGCGGCAGCGCATCCGCACCTTTCGGGAGAGGCTGAGTCCAGACGGAGTAAGCGCAGACGGAGACCGAACACTCCGTGTCCGTATGGACTATGGAGTAAGCCCACATGCAGATAGAGCACTCCGTATGGACTTACCCCGTATGGACTTAGCGTCCGCCGCACCTTACTCAAACCCAACGGTCCTGGCAATCCTTCGGGCCCAGGACCAACAGACTGCCACCTCCGTGTTCCATCGTGCTCGAGCGGTAACCATGGAAGGCGTCGTCGCCGCCGCCGTTGTCGCCGGTGCCGCCGAGGGCGTCGGTCGCAGCCGAGATCGCTGGTCGCCGTCGACGGCGCCGTCCTGGCCCGCCCGCCGAGGATGATGCCGCCGCCCTGGCAGGCGGGGCACTCCATGCGGTGGCACCTCGGGGTCTCCGCCGCCGCCGCGGAGGGCCCCTGGCCGCCGCCGCCGGCGGAGTCGTCGCTGCCGTCGTCCTCGTCATCCTCCTCGTGGTCCTCGTGTCGTCGCCGCCGTCGCCGTCGCCGAGGAAGCAGGAGCCGAGGACCGAGGCTTTGAACGTCGGTGCGGAGCGGCTACTATCGCCGAGTGTTGCCGCCGTCCGACGGTGCACTCGGCGCCGCCGACGCCTCACACTCTGCTCCCGCGGATGCCCTCCCCTGTGCTGCTGCTTCTGCCGCTCTTCCCCGCCCACCTCTTCTCGCGACGGGTTCCATGGCCTCCTCCTCCTCCTCCTCCTGCTGCTGCTGCTCCAGTCCCTTTCCTTATGAATAAAGCCTCCCTGTGGCACCCCTCGACGTGTCGGTAGGGCGGGCCGGGCGGTTTGACTGAGACTTCCTCACCACCTATGGTTCTGATGCCTGAAAAAAGTTTGTGCGTCAGCTTCACGGATGGAGGGCGAGCCGTTTCCAAAATGTGGCTCGCCTTGTCACCGTGCGCATTCGTTTTTTAAAAATGCAACGGCTTCACGGATTGAGGACGGGTTGTTTTCAAAATCTGACTCTCGCCTTGGCGCTGCGCACATTCGTCTGAAAAGTTCGCGACGGAATCGAGAATGGAGGGCGGGTGGTTTTCAAAATGTGGCTCCCGCCTTGGCGTCGCGCACGTCCGCTTTATATAAGTTCGCACCAACTTCACGCATGGAGGACGGCTCGTTTTTCAAATGTGGCTCTCGCATTGGCGCCGCGCACATTCGTCTGAGAAGTTCGCAGCTCGCTGTCAGTCGGTTCCTTTTCAAAGTGTGGCACTCGCTTCAGCGCCGCGCATTCGTCTCAAAAGCTTGCCACCGTGTCACTGACGGGGGACGGCTCGTTTTCCAAAGGTGGTTCTCGCCATGGCGCTGCGTTCATTCGGCTTTAAATATCGACGACATATTCAAATATTCGGATTGTTGACGTCCAAGGAACGGCGTTCTGGCAAGATCTAGGGTTGTCAAGACGCAACAGTCACGCTGGTTCGCGGTGATTACGTCTCAGAAATGGTGATCTGGCACGACTGCGGATTGTCACGACACACCAATCATATTGATTCGCGGCGATGAAGTCCCAGGACCAACATTTGGGCATGATTGAAGATCCTCAAGCGGATATTTTTCGATGGGGGACTTCCCGCAATGAAAATATGTTTTGCAGGGGCCCATGAAGAGGGAACTTGGAGGGGGGCTCAATGCATAATCTGTGATGCGTCCCGTGGTTGCACTAGTCCTCTTCCTCCTCATCCTCCTCCTTCAGCTCCAGCTCCTCAACATGTTGCTTCTGTTGCGTCCAGCACGAGGATGCAGTGCGAGTTCGAGTTCGAGGATGGCTCTGAGGGCAAGATCGATAAGGCTATGCTTGAGTACATCCCACCCTTTGCTCTGTGCACCACCCCGCTGGAGGCAAAGCTGCAGGACATGCTCGAGCACGGCTCCGAGGAGAAGATCGAGAAGTACTGCGCGTGAGCGCCAAAAGAGCAGCTCTACGCGGGCTCCCGCAACCAGACGATGATCGGGAAGGCGGCGCTGGACAATCACATCGAGCCTGAGAGCATCGGCAACCCCATCACGTCAAGGTCAAGGAGCCTGTCGAGTGCGAGCTCGAGGACCGCTCCATCGACACGGTGGCGACGACAGCGCACGCCGAGAAGATCGTCTGCGAGCCTCAGGTGGAGTTGCAGCAGGTGTCACTTGAAACTCACGAGGGCCTCGTCAACCCCATCACGATGCAACATGCCTTCGCGCGGCAGCCGGGTGGCAATCTCGAAGCCGCTGGCAAGGTGAAGCTCGACCCGCAGCGCGAGGTGAAGGATCTCGGGAGCATCTACTCCGTCACCAACACTGCCCTGCAGGATGAGAACTTGTAGGACAAGTTCGCGGACGGAGTCAAGCAGCAGATCGAGCAGGCGGAGCCGCCCCACGACAAACTGAAGGTGGTCGAGGAGATCGCGGGCTCGATCGGTCGGTGCCAGCAGCTCAACATGTTCAGCACGTTCATCGAGCGCCTCAAGCAGGAGATTGCGGTTCTGACGTCTGGGACGGAGGCTGGTGGCAATGTGGATAGCGCCAGGGGTCTCGCAGTGAGCCTCCATTGCACCATCCGGTGGGTTCGCGCGAAGTCGCGGACCGCCCTCGACGACCTGACACTCTTCGACGTACTGGCCGAGCCTGGGCACTTCGACGCGGTCTCGGCACTTTTGGGAGCCCTCGTCCGCTCCGGTGTCCCTCTGGGGCTCTTGGGTCCTGGGGTTTTCCTGGGTCTCCTGGGTCTGGGGTTATGTTGATCCCATCGTACTTAAGGACCACATCCCAGAAATAATTTCGAGCACCCAGAAAAGTGTCGAAAGAGTGTCGAAATAGTGTCGAAGCAGTGTCGCAACAGTGTCTCCCAGGGCCCGACACGTGAAAGCCCTAGAGCTTTGGGGTATTTTTCTAGCGCTCGAAACTCTTTCTTGCGATCAAGGCTGAAGTAGGTTGGAACATCATAAGTCTGGGGGCGTTCGTCTCTCTGGGCATCTGGGCTCGGTTCCTGGGCCTGGGTCGCTCGGGCCCACGGGCCCTCTGGGGTCGGGCCGTCCGCGAGGTTCCATCGTGCCCGGTGCCCGGCGCGCGCGTCACGGCGCTGCTTCGTAGTGCGGCTGCCAATCTCCGCCAAGAGGAGGCAGTGACGGGAGCCTTGGAACCTCGCGTGTTGCCAGAATACCTGTTGTCTGTTTCACATTAACTCGTTGGGCTTGTTGTTGGCTTGTCTCACAAGCCGTGGCTCTGTGCGGCATTTTCGGCCACGCTTCATTCCAGCCCTTGCATAGCTGCGTTTGCGTGGAGCCCTGGGGCAGTTGCGAAGCCGCCTTGAAGCTGCCTCGGGTTGCCTCGTCCTTGCCTTGTTCAGGTCGGCCGCGAGGTGGAGCTTGTGATGTCGGAGGCCGCCACAATGAGCTTTCAGACTTCCTGGTGCTAGCCGCCAGCCTCGCCCGCTGTACCAGCGAATCGCGGCAGCATTTGTCGATGGCAGAAGTCCTCCTCCTCCTCCTCCTCCTCCTCCTCTACCCCTCCCGCTCCCCCCTCCTCCCCCCCCCCCCCCCGCGCAAGGCCGAGCCTTCTCTGGCCCGCCCCGACCCCTCCCCCCCTGGCGCCGCTGCCCCTCCCCCGGGGGGGGGGGGGGGCCTGGCCCCTGGGCCGGGGAGCGACGGGGGCAGCGACGCTCGCCCGGCGTCGGGGCGCAGTGCGCGGTGCGAGCTGGCGCATCCCAGGAGGGCGCCGGCCCGCAGACCCCAGCGGCGCGCTGTGGCCCATAAGGCCATTCTGGGTGAGCGGCGCTCGCGGCGGGGCGCCCACGGCCCCGCGGGGCGTCCGCTCACCCGGGCAGCGCAATCGGCAATCGTTCCTCCCTCCCAGGTCGTCATCGTCCTCTCCCCCATGATGCTCGTCCCTCGTCCCTCCTCATATTTGCACTGCTGCTCTTCCTCCTCTTCCTCCTCCTCCTCCTCCTCCTCCTCCACCTCCTCTTCCTCCTCCTCCTCCTCCTCCTCCTCCTCCTCCTCCTCCACTCCTCCTCATCCTCCTCTTCGAATTACACATTATCCTTCCGCGTTCTGTCCTCCTCCCCTTCCTCGTGGACTCCTCCTCCTCCTCCTCTTCCTCCTCTTCGTCGTCGTCGTCCTCTCCTCCTCTTCGAATTACACATTATCCTTCCGCGTTCCGTCCCCCTCCCCTTCCTCGTGCTCGTGGACTCCACGTCCTCCACTTCCTCCTCCTCCTCCTCATCCTCATCGAGTTTGACATTATCCTTCTGCGTTCTGCACTCCTCCCATTCCTCGTGGACTCCTCCTCCTCCTCCTCCTCCTCCTCCTTCTCCTCCTCCTCCTCCTCCTCCATCTGGAGTGTGCTCACTCTGGGGGGGGGGGGGGGCGTTTTCAGGGGAGGCTGCAGCACCTCTCAACGATGTGCTGTCAACCAAACCTGCAGGGTGGGCCTTCTCCATTTCTCTGTGCACTTCAGCTTTGCCTTCGGCTTCAGATGCCGATGTACGGTGAAACGCCTTCGGGCCAGCTCACCCAAGTCGGATTTTCCGCTCGCACGGACGCTGCCCTCCCCTCTGTCTTTCCTTGTACTTTCCAGTCCTTCAAGGGACCTACTCCACCCCCCTGCCACCACCTCCTCCTACCCCCCTCCTCCCTCCTTGTCTTGCCCCCCCTCCTGCCCTCCAAAAATGAAAGTTCGGACATCAGAACCGCTCTGGGAACATCCGGCGCTCCCTTGTCCTGCACGCAAGCCCCGCTATTCCCCCGGTGTTGTGCTTCCCCTGAGGACGCGGCACTGTTCGTCTGTGGGCAGACTGCCTGGCCCTGTCTCCGCACTGATGAGAGGTGCGCGCTTCATGACGCGGAGCTCGACCTCAGAAACACACACCGCCAGTTCAAGGCCGAGCTTGATGCCACAAGCACGCAGATCCTCTCGGGTCGACCCACCCGCCTTCCAGCAGGGCCAGGACCAGGATGACTCGCCCCAGAGCGTTGAGGAGCGCCAGCAGAGCGCTCCGAGTGCGCCCTGGAGCGGCACGGCGCCTGCTCCATGCTGGAGGACCGCCCGACATCTCAGAGATCCACGATCTGTCCCGGCCCGGCTTTGCCTCCCTCCTGCTTCCCCCCCTCTGGCACGTGCGGTGTCGCAGAGGTCGCCCTGGAAGTTTCCGGAGGCCCCCGAGTGCCTCTACAGAGTTCCCCCCGGAGGCTCGCAGAGCAGAAGGCAGGACGTGACCAAGAAGCAGACGCGGGGACTTCCTCGGCTGCCTGGTGTCGACCCGTCTCCCATGGTCTGCTCTCCCTCACCCATCCCCATCCCCCTCCGTATCCCCTCGTCAGCCTTCCCTCCCCCTCCCCGTCCTCCTCTCCCCCTCTTCGTCCTCCTTCCTCCTCCTCCTCCTCCTCCTCCTCCTCCTCATCAGCTTCATCCTCCTCATCCGCCCCATCCTCTTATATTCCTGCTCACCCTCCTTATCCACCTCATCTTCCCCATTCCCCTCCTCAACCCCCTTTCCTGGCGCGGCACTGTTTGTCTGGGCCAGATCCCTCGCCGTCCTCCTCGTCGGAGGAGTCCGCGTTGACGAAGCCCCAGCCGTCGCACTGAGACGGTCGTGCTCGTTGTCTTCAGGGGTGCACGGTGGAGCAACAGCAGAATGACGACGATGACGACGATGATGGTGGTGATGATGGTAATGATGATGACGAAGGTGGTGATGGTGCTGTTGAGACTGCTGCTTCAGATGCTGCTGCTGATGATGGTGATTATGATGACGATGGTGGTGGTGGTGATCATGATAGGGGATGATGAGGAGGAAGATGATAATTGGGCTGCTAATAACGATGACGATGCTGATGGTAGTGACGATGGTGATGGTGATGAAGATGACGATGATGAAGGTAGTGAAGACGACTGTGTTGGTGATGGTGGTAATGCTGACGTCGGTGGCCACGATGGTGATGGCGATGGTAAGCATGAAATTGGCAACAGTGATGGCGGTAAAAGGGGAATGAAGATGCCCGTGCTGATGAGGATGTTGATGATGATCGTGATGACGACTATAATGGTGATGATGGTGGTGACGATGATGGTGATAATGATTGTAAGGTTGATGGTGGTGATGATACTGATACTGATCCGGACGATGATGATGATGGCGATGGTCACGGTGGCGGTGATGATGACAGGGGTGATGGTGATGGTGATGCGGATGGTGATGATGATGATGGTGATGATGATGATGATGATGATGGTGATGATGTTGTTGATGACGATGACGATGACGATCGGCCAGCCGCCGGAATCGAGCGGAGGAGGAGGGCTCCTCCCTCCTCCCTCCTCCCTCCTCCCTCCTCCCTCCTCCTCCTCCCTCCTCCTCCCTCCTCCCTCCTCCTCCTCCTCCTCCTCCTCCTCCTCCTCCTCCTCCTCCTCCTCCTCCTCCTCCTCCTCCTCCTCCTGTGCCCCTGACATCCTCGCGTCGTAACCAGAACATCTTGTCCCCTCGGCGGCGAGGCAGAGGTATACACTGCACCAGCGGCCCCGCCACTCGGGGCGAGCGAAGAGCGAACTGCCCCGCATGCACGACGAGAGACTGAGACAGACGGAGCGGCCGCGGAGGCGGGGGAGGAGGAGGGGGGCGCACTCAGAGGCAACCAAACAGACAAGGACATCCCTTGACCAGCTTCTGCCTCTCAGGGTCCCTGCGGGCTGAGGATCCGGCCCCCGGGATGAGGTCCGGACTCCTCCTCCTCCTCCTCCTCCTCCTCCTCCTCCTCCTCGCGAAGTCGGCGGTCTGGCCCCGCGGGAGCACCTGGGCGCCTCCGCGCGCCAGCGCGCCGCCGGGCGCGACCGCACGCGCCGCGCCAGCCAGAACGGGGGGGAGGGGCGACCCAATTGGGAGAGGAGGAGGAGGAGGAGGAGGAGGAGGAGGAGGAGGAGGAGGAGGAGGAGGAGGAGGAGGAGGAGGAGGAGCACACTCTCCTCAGACCTGGTGAGCACCTAGCCCTGGCAAGGAGGTCCAGGCCCCAGGCGCGCTTAAGGCCGAAGCTCTGGAGCTCGGCCACCACGGCCCTGCCCACCTGCGGGTCCGAGGCGGCGGTCACGGCCTTGTCCGCAGCCGAGGCTGCCAAGGGAAGGCGAAGCACGTCGTCCTACATCGTCGGGGCGAGGTCGGTGAGCACGTTCACGGCCCACGCGATGATCTGCCCGGGGAGCTCCATCATCGCTTTGGCGAGGTCGTCGGCGCAGATGAGCAAGCTGGTGGCACCACCAGCATTACGAGCGTTACCATCATAAGCATCATCATCATCATCATCAGCAGCAGCATCATCATCATCAGCATCAGCATCATCCTCATAATCAGCATCACCAACATACTCATCACCATCATCACCATCACCATCACCATCACCATCACCATCATCATCATCATCAGCATCATCATCATCATCAGCATCATCATACTCATCACTATCATCATCATTACCATCATCATCCTCATCATCATAATCACGTACACCACCATCATCATCACCATCAGCTTCATCACCATCACCCTCATCATCATCACCACCATCATCATCATCACCACCATCACCATCACAATTGTCATCGTAATACCATGTCTGTCCAAGCTTGGGCGCAAACGGGCCGCATGATCCTGGTGATGATGATGATGATGATGATGATGATGATGATGATGATGATGATGATGATGATGATGATGATGATGATGATGATGATTGTGATGATGATGGTGAGGAGGAGGAGGAGGAAGACACAGGGAAGGTCCCACGTCATGGCGAAGTTCGACATACCAAGGACATGAGAGGAGGAGCGTGAGGATATACAGGGTGTTATCAAACAGGTTGAGGATGAGATAGGCGGGGGATGGAGTGGACAAGAGGTCGGATGAGCAGCGGCAAGGAGAGAAGGGGAAGGAAACGGACGAGCAGCACGAGACAGTGAAGACGATGAACGTGAAGTGCAACAATACCAGGTAGATGCACACGGTGGATTCCGGAAGCCCTGAACCCAAGCATGTTGCCATCTCTTTGGGGCACATTTCTTACTTCCGCCACCTTCCGCCAGCTTCCGCCCGCGGAGGCGGCCTCGTTCTGCTTCCGTCGCTTTCCGCCGCGGAAGAGATGGCAACTCCGTCGAGCCTCGAAGGCAAGGTTCTTTCTTGGAGCGCCTCACACGTAAACAGGCAGAACGGAATGAAGACAAGTAGGCGGATCAGGCACTGAAAGAGTCTGCGAAGAACGCGGTCGGCGACGACGGGCGCAGATGCAAGCTGCCCATCCATGCCCCTCGCCTTCGCATCTCCCCGTGCACGATGACGCCGCTGACGACGGCGATGACGCCGCCGCCGACGACAGCGGTTCAGCGTGAGGAAAGGGGTCCTGAGGGGAACGGGTCCTGGACCCCGGGGCCTTCTCCCAGTACGAGATCTTCACCCTGAGTCCTGTTCTGACAGCCCCGGGCCCGTGGAGGGCCCCGAGAGCCCGAAGGCAGCGAACAACCTCAGGACCCGTTTCCCTCAAGATCCGCTTCCCCTATGGTCAGGTCGGGCATGCCCCCCTACAAGCGTATTTTGGACGATAAATAAAACATGAAATCAAATGGAAACATAGTCTTTTTTGAAAAAAAAAAAAAACATACTCCGAAAATCGGCCCCACACCCCAGACTATTTGTAACTATTCTTGAACACTCCCCCTCCTCCAAATTCTTTTTCTTCTCCTCCTCCTCCTCCTCCTCCTCCTCCTCCTCCTCCTCCTCCTCCTCCTCCTCCTCCTCCTCCTCCTCCCTCCCCCCAGTAGAGGGGCAGGCCCGCCCTAACCCTACGGCGAGGTCTGGGGCCCCGACGTCCTCGCACTTCTCGCCGGCCTTGGAGAGCTGCCTGCTCAGCTTGGAGGTCATCTCTGCCCCGTGGCCTCCTGCGGGGGAGGCGGGGGCGCGCGCGGCAGAGCGAATATGGCAGAGGGCGGCTGGGGAGGAGGAGGGAGGAGGAGGAGGAGGAGGAGGACGAGGAGGAGGAGGAGGGGAGGAGGAGAAGAGGGAGGAGAAGGAGGACGACGAGGAGGGCGGAGAGGGCGAGGAGGAGGAGAAGGAAGAGGAGGAGGAGGAGGAGGAGGAGGAGGAGGAGGAGGAGGAGGAGGAGGAGGACGAGAAGGGGGAGCGCACGTAGCCTTCAGAACGAGGAGGAGGACGAGGAGGAGGACGAGGAGGAGGAGGAGGAGGAGGAGGGCAGGAGAACGAGGAGGAGGAGCGCAGGAGGACGAAGAGGCGGGCAGAAGGACGATGAGGAGGAGGAGAAGGGCAAGGAGGCAGAGATCCAACGTATTGAAAACATCAAGACTGAGATTTGTTATTCTTTCCGGCCTCTAGAAGTCTTCGCCGGGCCCTGGGACCGTCAGAACAGACGAAAAGCCGGTTCCTGGGAAGGGGTCGAGGCTTCTGGGGACCGGGCACTGAAAACATCAAAACATCAGAGCTCTGGGGAGGAGGGTAGAGGGCGAAAAAGAGACGAGGGATCACTGGCTCTGCTGCCAGGGCCTTCGAGAGCGCAGCCATTTGACAGTCTGGCGGGAATCAAGTAGGTTCTGTCAATGGGGAAAGCTCCCTTGCTCAGCGACGACCAACTCGCAACCTGTTTCTGGGGAGTGATAGCTAGGGCCCCCCCCTATCTATCAACCCCTCCCGAACCGTAGGAGTGGTGTCCAAAGAATGGGGCAGAGGAGAAGGAGGAGGAGGAGGAGGAGGAGGAGGAGGAGGAAGAAGGACAAGGGGCAGGGAGATGGCACAAGTCAACGACGTATTAGTCCAACGCTTGTGGTGCAAGATCCCAGCGCGCATGATCGGCGAAGAGGCCGCAACCAAAGAAGGCAGGAGAAGAGAGGAGGAGGAAGGAGGAGAAGGAGGAACATGGAAAACGAAGGGAGGAGGAGGCACTACCCAGACCCCCGACGTCATGTTTTTGTTGATGACGTCGACTCCCAAAGGTCTCGACCCATTCCCCGGGACCGGTTTTTCATTCTGGGCATTCTTGTCGACGGCCCCGAGGCTCGGCAAGGGCCCTGCGGAGGCCGCACATGGCGAAACACCTGGCGTCGAGACTCCCGCCCTGACTCGAGGGGGGGGCCTGGGCGGGAAGGCAGGGGGGACCCGGGGGAGGCCCGGGGCTGGCGGGGCCCAGGAGGGTCCCACGGGAAGGGGGGGAGGGAGGAGGCGCCCGGAGGGCGCCTCCGCGGGGCGCGCGCGGGGGGGCCTCGGGGAGGGCCGGGCAGGGCCCCCGAGGGGCCGAGGGGGCCGTGGGCGAACGACTGCGACGACGCCGACGACGACGGCGGGGCCCTGAGGAGAGCCTCGGGGGGACGACGACGACGACGACGACGACGACGACGACGACGACGACGACGACGACGACGACGACGACGACGGCGACGACGACGACGACGACGACGACGACGACGACGACGACGACGACGACGACGACGACGACGACGACGACGACGACGACGACGACGACGACGACGACGACGAGTGCGACGGCGGCGGCGGCATCGGCGAGGGCGTCGCGACGGCGAGAACGGCCCGAGCGCGGGTGTTGCCTGCCATGGCAGCCCGCAGCTCCGGCCGCAGGTCCAGGCCCTCCTGCGGGTGCGGGCGGTGGGGCGTGTGGCCGCAGGAGAAGCGGGGTCGAGCATCGGGGTTCTCCAGAAGCCTCCTCCGCCTCCTCCTCCTCCTCCTCCTCCTCTCCTCCTCCTCCTCCTCTTCCTCCTCCTCCTCCTCCTCCTCCCAACTCCTCCACCCAACTCCTCCACCCAACTCCTCCTCCTCCCTCTCCTCCTCCTCCTCCTCCTCCTCTCCTCCTCCTCCTCCTCCTCCCCTTCCTCCCCCCTCATCCTCCTCCCCCCCCCCTCCTCATCCTCCTCCTCCGCCTCCTCCTCCTCTTTCTCCGCCTCCCCCTCCTCCCCCTCCTCCGGGGAGGAGGAGGGTCGCACTAGGGACAGTCGACGGTGGCGGTTCTCCTCCAGCCTCCTCCCCGAGCCTCCTCCTCCTCCTTCTTCTCCTTCTGCTCCTCTCCCCTCCTCCCTCCACCTTCTGAATCCCTTTTCTCTACCTCTCTCCTTATCCGCTCCCTGGTCTTCTTCGAGGTATATTGCACTTGTCGTCGTCGCCGATAAGATCGATGGCTCAAGAGCTTCAGCGCTCAGCGCCATTGGCCCGTCGTGGACCTGCGATAAGCCTTCTGTCGCCATGCTGGACCCACCTGGAGATTATGGTCGGAACCCGCCCCAGGAAGTCTTGGAGGGTGCGACTGTTGGAGGGAAGCGAAGAGAAGCAGGAGGCGGAGAAAGATCGCACTGCCCACAGAGGAAGGGGCTCGATGGGGGCATCCGGAGAGCGCATGGCCATACGGAAAGGTCTTGTTGTACACAAGAAAAGCACAGGGGTGGTGGGCGACACCCTGCGGGAGGCGCACTGAAATAGAATGCCATGGCACTGGCCATGAGATCCACACACACGCCCTAACTATCACTCTAACGCTCTCCAGCCCTCAAGAGGAGTCCACATCCCCGAGAAGCCCACGGACACTGCACAAGAGGCCCCGAGAAGACGGTCGAGGAGAGCCCACAAAGGCTGGACGGAGCCGCCCTTCGATGACGGAGCCCTGATGTGTTCATCATGGTTTGGCTATTTGAACCAATCATCCCCCTCCTCTTCTTCTTGCTCTACTCACAAGCACTCGATCGCGGAGGACCAGATCACGCACACACGCACACACACACTCACACGCACAGCCAGACTACGCTGCACTAGATCATTGCATCACGTCCGAAACCACTACACCGACTGGACAAAACAGCATTACCACGCACAACGAAACCAAGCCAATCCATAAAAATCCCAGAACGGGCACGATCATGAGCAAAATCAGCCTGCCTGCGGACACAAAAACGACGCATGAAATGCAACAAGGCGGACGAGGGGTGGGAAAGGGAGGCGGCGAAAGAGGGGATATGAGGCAAGAACACACGAGAGAAGATCTCGATGGCCTTGAAGCGGAGGCCGATGATGAAATCGAGCATGAGGGGGGTGGAGAAGGACCCACATGAGTACACGCACTTCTTTAGACTGTCGACCGCAATCGGGTGGAATCAAGTCCCGTAACAAGCACGGGCGACAATACTGTGCCGGCACAGATGACACTGTGGCAAACATTGGAGGGGGGAAATAAAAATAGGGGTCAGCAACAGGGGCTCTTCAATGGGTGCTGAATGGCACCTCTATGGCGTATTCAAATGATCTGGCATGGTTTACGATCACTGCGCGTGGGCATATATTGACGCTCGGGCGATGTCTGTTGGCGGTAGCGCATCGCCCAGCTATTGCCGGTGGTGGCAAAAGCATACTGGAATCCATGCGTTGTCAGATACAGAAAATGTGAATTCACATTTGGGAGAAACGCAACATGTGAATCCACATTTCTGGGGAGAGCGCAATCTGTGAGTCCACATTCCGTGGAAAGCGCAAAATGTGAATTCACACATGTTCTGGTGCTCATGTTCTTCATGACCCTCAGGCCGAAAGTCTGAATGCATCTTTTAGAATAGCGCAGGGTGTGTGAATTCATCTCTGTTGGGGGAAACGCAGACAGTGATCTCACATTTTGGAAAACAAAAAACGGCAAGCCTTCAGTGTGCCCCGGGCGGATGCCCGCGACGCAGCAGGAGGCGCGGCTGGGCGGTGCGCCACCGCCACCGGAAACAGCGTTCGAGGGCGCCGCACTCCCTGCCACCAAAATCCCAACGTGGAGCGGCTGCCGGCCATACTGGAGCACCTGAATGGGCGATGCCCATCGGTCAAGAGAAGTAGGTAATTACCGGAGCACCTGAATGGGCGATGCCCATCGGTCGAGAGAAGTAGGTAGAAACATGACGCAGGAAGGCGTTTGAAATAGATTGGGTTCCATCCGCCCCCTAAGGAGGACGGAGAAGGTAAAACCACTCGATCGTTGAGGTAGGAAGGCGCTGGAAGTAGATTGGTACCTGGGGCTCCCAAAATACCTACTTTCAACGACCGATAGGTACATGAGCCATAACTGGGCCATGCAGCACCCATTGAAGACCCCGTGTTGCTATACATGGGCGATTTCGGAAACCCTGAACCCAAAATTGTTCTCATCTCTTGGGGGCTCACTTTTTTACTTCCGCCGACCTTCCGCCGCGGAAGAGATGGCAAGTCCTTCGATCCCCGAAGGCAAGGCCCTTTTTGGAACATGAGCCATACATGGGCCATTCAGCACCCATGGAAGACCCTCTGTTGCGGACCCCTCCTTTCACCCTCCGAAGCCCAAACCATAGCAGATCCCGCGGGACCCGTCCACACGGGGCACGGCGATTGTACGGTAGGCACCGCCGAAGGTGAGCGAGACACTGGTCGCCGAAGGGGCTGGTGAAGAAGCGCGAGCCGTTCAGAATATCTCGAACTCCTCCTCGACACTCCTCCATTCTCCGCATGCCTGGCGGGCGTGAGGAATAATTCCCTGATCCTCCTCCTCCTCCTCCTCCTCCTCCTCCTCCTCCCTCCTCCTCCCTCCTCCTTCTCCCGTCCCCATGTCCTTCCCATCCCTCATCCTGCCCAACCAACCAGGCCTTCTCGGCCAATACTTCCCCTACCCCCCGTGCTCCTCCTCGTCCTCGTCGTCATTGGTGCCCTCCTCCTCCTCCTCCTCCTCCTCCTCCTCTTCCAAGGCCACGGACTGCTCAGGCCCGCAGCCACATGCGGCCTTTGCATCCGATGGCCTCCCCCGACCGCGAGCCGCCAGGCCCGCTTGGGGGAGCCGGGGCCCAGCGCGCTGCTGGCGGCGGCGCTGCGCTCCGCTAGGGGCGGGGCGTGCTGGCAGCGGGCAGCGGGATGGAGGGAGGAGGAGGCAGCAGCAGCAGCAGCAGCGACGGACCAGGCAGCAGCACAGGAAGGGCAAGGGCGAGGACGAGTGGGACGACGGGCACCACGGGTACGGGGACGGCTGGGCCATGTGGAACATCACCATCACCAACACCATCATCATGGTTTGTGCACGCCTCCTTCGTAGGGTACAACGCTTACACGTTGATGCGTACAGGTTGTACGGAGAGCCTGGGACTTGAATTTGCTAGAGCATCGGCGATCTTCGTTCCTGGAACAAAAATCCCTATGAAGCTCAACCAGCAGCACCACTATGAGCGTACCCCCGAGTTCCACTGGATACACTGGGGGTGGGGACGTGGGTCAAACACGAATGCGTCGGCGGGCGTCTCTATTGCGGTCTCGGCAAAGTTATACCAGCCCCGACATATTATTTGTATAACATACCCACCACCACACCTTCAGGGGCGAGCGGGTTGTGTAGATATCGAGAGAGGCCCCCAGAGATTTCGTCTTATCGTGGGATACTATCCGCCTCGATGTTCATCAGCACGCCGCGCCCCCAGCTGGCGGGCGACATGCAAGCAACTTACCTCGTGGATTAAACAGCAGGCCGACAGCGTCCCAGCACGTGTATTGCCAATCATTTTCGCCGATCTGAATCTTAAGATGGGTAAGAAAGGCACCGAACTTATTGATGATCACACCGTTGGACCCCATCAGGCCGGCCACGAGGATGAGATGTCCACTTTTGTCCGCAAGCAGTTTGAAGAGAACCACTTGACCTTCTTGAACACACATCATGACCTTGGACCTAGTTACTATGGCCTTAACGGAGCTCGTAGTCGTATTGCTTACTTCTTAGGCCCGAGGGCCCTTCTGCAGATTGGAGTACGTATGCGAATGTTCTGGAATTCTCAGCGTCGGCTGCAGGCTCTCCCGCACATGATAGATCACGTACCTATGTACCTCCAGTTTCGTGTACCAGCACCAACACCGCACCAGCAGCAGCAGGGATGTGCATGGGACTGGGGAGGGCTAGCAGCAGCACTGCAGAACGGGTATCGGAGGGAGGAGTTCATGAGTCAGATTTGCCAGGCCTGGACAGCATACCGCCCCTTGTGTCGAGCTCTCACCATGGACGGGGAACCTACTCGACACGCGGGGGTGGTCACCCAGATCATCCGACAAGCTGCTGTGACAGTATTCTCGGCAGAGAGATCGACGCCCGCGTGGGTCACCGAGGCGAAGGATGAGAGGAGGAGGTTACTTCGACAGCGGGCCGAACTGCGAGACCTTGGGTTCGAACTCTCGGGCGGTCTCCTCCGACGTCTCGATCACCAGCTTCGATCGCATCGACGATGGCAGGAGAGGTGGAGGAGGGAGTCGCTCGAACAGGAGATCAGGGAGGCGTGGGCGGTTCGTGACCAGGCTCGGGTGGGATACCTCATCAGGCTTCGGGCGGGCACCAACATGGGACCTCGGAAGAGATGCTATCTGGCCCTCCCGACGAGTCGCCCCAGCGCCGAGGACTTCAGGAAGGCGATGAGCCTACCAGCTGTCGAGGGGGGTTTGACGACGACAAACGCGCACATGAGCAAATACATGACCCCTGAGGCCGTTCAGAAGCTCCTGGATACCCCCCTCGAGGACCTCCCTGCCTATGGACCCCGACTCGCCCTCCCGACCATTGAGGACCACGAGAGGGCTGCAGAGGACCTTGAGCTCGTCAAGAAAAGGAT